AATGGCGCCGAGGAGAATCCTTTGCAAGGATCACATGCCTTCATAACCCAGCACAAATGGGCCAGCAATGTCAAGTGAGTGCACTCGAATGTGGGTTGTGAAGAAGTGAAGTTGTAATAAATTCTGAATTCTACACTTTGTAGGGCTCTCATAAACTTGGACTCAGCAGGTTCGGGTGGTCGCGAAATTTTGTTTCAGTCCGGTCCTGACCACCCTTGGTTGATGCGATATTACGGTCAACATATCTTGCATCCATATGCTTCAAGCATTGCCGAAGAATTATTCCAAAATGGATTTGTGCCTTCGGAGACAGACTTCAGGATATTCAGAGACTTTGGAGAAATACCGGGTAAGAAGAGAAATTTGTGTGGTAAAAAAAAATTAGAAAGTTTTTTTTAATATATTCTTAAGAGCCCTAACACCAAAATATTTTAATATTTGGTTGAGATGCGCGTACCACTAATCGGCAATACTCAGGTGCCATGATTTCTACACCTAACATTAAAATAATGCTTCTGCTAATATCTGATGCCCTTTGCCGGGCAATAGAAAAGCTCTGGGAATAGCAAATAATTAGACAGAAATAAGGAGTATACCGTTTATGCGCTCAAAAGTCAAATAATCTTGGGAAGCTTGGTCCCTTCTCTCTTACGCCTTTGGCTACCAAATTCCACAGCAATAATTGATAGATTAAAGGGGTAGGCGAAGACAATCCTCGGGTGTATTTTACCAGTTCACTACTCAACTTTGGATTAGTGAAGGCTGATTTGGGAGAACCGATGGAATCCAGGTTCGGCTTCAGGGGTTTTCTTAAGAGGCATGTAGTTTTACTGGAAATAAAATGCGTTCGAAAGAGCTTAAGTATGCTGATTTTCTATAAAAAGAAAAAAGGAACAGTCCAGCGCCTTCGTCTTGGTCTGCAGGCTGTATCGGAGACACAGCCGCTAAATTTAAACGTAGAATACGTGGAACGGTTATGAGCACATCCAAGTCAAAAAAGAAAGCACTCATTAAGAAAAAAATATCGATAACAAAAGCGATAATAATATCGATAGCAAAATCGATAGCGAAATCGATGAAAACATCGATAACAAAATCGATGAAAACATCGATACCAAGATCGATAATATCGATAGCAAAATTGATAACAAAATCGATAAAAATATCGATTACAAAATCGATAAAAATATCGCTAAAAAATCGATTACAAAATCGATAACAAAATCGATTAAAGTATCGATAACAAAATCGATGAAAAATATCGTTTATTATATCGATAAGTTCCGAGAATATCGGTAGCAAAATAAAGAACAGTATCGATAAAAATTTCGATAACAAAATCGATAAAAAATATCGAGAATAAAACCGATAAAATATTGATTATTATATCGATAAGTCCCGAGAACTCCGAAAATCTCTAAACTCCCGAAATCGTCCCTAGATTGAGTCTCTGCCTATATCCTTTTCTCTATAATTACCTTTATTTTAATCTTTCTTCCTCATCCTGATATTTTTCTTTATATTTATCTCTGTTTTTACTTTTATGTTTATCATATTCTTGATTTACATATTCCCTTTCACCTTTGCCCTTTATAAGTAGAGTGATTAAATTTACCTAGGTCTTCATGTATTTACATACAAACGCTGCGATTTGGTTATAAATATTGCGTCATCTGTTACTCAAAAGCCGAAATTCCTATACACACATACTTTTTGTCTTCTTCTCTCACTCCCAGCGCATGCACGTGTTTGCAGAATGATGACGTAGTGATTTTGTATGGAAAATCATTTATGCCCATATCTTTGAGTAAAATAAACATACTTATAAGATATCAACCAATACTTCCCATATACCGAATGAAAGGAAAAAACTTGAATTTTTGACTAAAGAAAAAAAAACAAAATCATTCGAGCAGTTTTCGAGTATTTTGGTATTAAAAAAAGTTTGCTAATTTTTTCAAAAATTTTTTGCATTAAAATGCTCAATACTTGTTGAAATGAAAGTTTAATCTGCAAATTGTAAGTTGCTAGTGCACTTTAAAAGCTCAAAATTGACTCCAAAATTAGCGAATAGTTACTGTTGTTTCTACGACAGAAACCGAATTGGTTACTTACAAAAATGAATCTGTAGAAAGGTTTAGAATTTTATCTTTGAGACGCCACACTTTTCTTTCAATCCGCTTCATTAGTGCTCGTGCAATAAGCGTTTTCGTAAAGCTCTAAAAATTACGACTACAACATTTCAGCATAGCTTCCATATCGAAACATAAGACGTATTCTACGTCAAAAGGTTGCATTTCTCAGAATACCGAAGATTTTGTGCTCTGATACCAGAATCCGGGTAGTATAACATATATAGTTTTTAGAATGCGAAATACTGGAAAGACCCATCTCCATGTCTTTGTTTTGGATACTGCAGTACCTTCAAAGCTGAGATCTTAGCACCAAAACCATTTTTGGAGCATCCTAAGTTGTGCAGCAATTCACAGAGTTGTTATTAGAGCTAGATCCCGCGAAGATTGATTTTCATATCACTCACATGCAATCCATTTACGAAGGAAGACAGTTATCTTTAGCATAGATGTTTGGAAAAGGAAGCGTTAAAAATCTGAAGTCTGTTTCGCCATAAGCTGTTCGCTTTATGTGAATAAGGAGAAAACTGCCCCCAGGCCATTTACAAACACGAAAAATTACCATATTTCAAGAAATCTAAATTCAAAGGTATAGAACTGTATCTTCCACAAAGAGTGAACTAGCAGGTGAACATTTTCTTAGATAGGCAATTCAAGCGATCTCCCCTTCCTTAGTTAGATCGAAACTTGTGAAGGACATTAGGAGATAGTTGGCCCTAATTTCTGGTAAATTTTAAATTACCCTTGCCTACAAACAGTCGGCCGTCTCCACAGGGTACTGGCCCTTTGGATTACATTCCGAAAGGATAGGCATAGTTTTCACCAGTCTCTGCCGCTGAAGCCAGTTTCCGAGCTGAAAGGGGATGCTTGAACAAATTCTCTGCCAATGCCCGGCCCTTGCAAGAGTGAGGCTAAAGACATTTGACCAACCATTCTTGCAGAAATTTCAGAATACAGTTTCTCTTTTTGATTTTTATCAAAAACGCTATTTTACTCCCACAATCTCATTTTTGGATCTCTTTTCTGTTGGAATTGTAAAATGTTTACTCCACAGTTATTGCTGGTAATGCTATTTTAACTCTACTATTTCATTCCGCAGGCTTAGATATGGCACACACTGTCAACGGCTATGTCTATCACACCAAGTATGATCGCTTCAATCTGATACCACGCAGAACGTATCAGCTCACCGGCGATAATGTATTAGCGCTCACTAAAGCTTTGTGTAATGCGGCAGAAATGGAAGATCCAGCGGTAAGCTTAGCTATTTACTATGAACTTCAAAAAATTTACTCATACTTTTTTGTAGAAATATGCTGAGGGTCATACAATTTTCTACGATGTGCTTGGTTGGTTTATAGTCTACTACCCGGAAGAAACTGGCATTGTGATAAATGTTTTGGTTTGCGTCATAGCTATTATCACTATATTGGCCTATATTTGGAATATGGCACACCAGACGGGCATGTTTAGGCGTCGCGTCTTTATCAAATTCGGCATCTTGTTGGGTGTCCAATTCGCCGCTGTGATTCTGGCCATATTGCTGACTATCACAATTGCGATATTCATGGATACTGTTGGTCTTTCAATGTCGTGGTTCTCCCAGCAATGGATGACTTTCGGTTTGTACTTCTGTCCGATGTTCTTTATGATGGGCTTGCTGCCGGCGGTCTACTTGAGTCGCACAAAGGAGGTGGGTGTCATGGATGAAGACATAAAAAATATGTGAATGTATTTTTCCAATCTTTTCTTCACAGCATGGCTTACCGCTGGGCTATGCTATTCAGCTGATTATGCACGCGCACTGCTTGATTTTGACTATGGTTTGCATTATACTGATCTCACTTAATATACGCTCGGCATTTGCGTTGATGCTTTGCATTGGTTTCTACGTACTATCGGTGATCTTGAATATGGCCACATGCTTCCAAAAGACTAGTAAGTCACCTAATTTTTGTGTTAGCAGAATTGTACTTTAAGCGCCCTACTTCTCCCACAGCGTTCCTCTGGCTAATACCGCACATCATCTGCCAGCTGATGCCTTTCCTCTTCTACAGCTACTGCTGCTATGCTTTCTTTGTTACTTTTGTGCCGATGCAGGGTCGCGAAGGTAGTAGCAATCCTGAGCTTTTTATCGGTGGCTTTACAGCGCTACTCTGTCTGCTGTTGGGACCCTTTTTGGTACCACTTTTGTGCCTTTTCCGCAAGTCGAAGACCATCATTTCCATCTTCGGCGTCATTTGCTTGGTTTTCATCATACTAGCCGCCACACCGGTTGGCTTTCCATATGCCGAACGTGAAGCGCCACAGCGTTTCTATGTTGCGGTAAGTAGAATTTATAAACAAAAAAAATACTAAAAGATATTAACAATTCCCATTTTGCAGCACACAACAAGGACCTTCCACAACGGCGATGCAGCGATGTCGGTTCGCTTCAACGATTCTGGCTACTACGTTGTGCCGGTCGATCGTCGTCCGCATTCAATAGACTACTTGTTTGAGAACATAAATGCGAGCAAATCCAGTCAACTGGGTATTGACTGCGATACAGAGGTGATGTGTGGCTATCCGATTTACAGTACGCGCTGGCTGGGCTATCGGTATGCTCTGCAAAGTTATTCATGATCGAATGAGTGCGTCTAATAAATATTTCTCTTTAACTAGTGATCAAAGCTTTTGGGTCGATGGTCCTGCACCCAAGGCTGGCAGCTGGCCGCGTTTGAGAATTCTGAGCAAAGAACGCATCTCATTTACGAATCTGATTATTAGCCTGGAGGTGGCAGGTCCGGATCACATGAGTGTTTTCATACAACCCATGAATGATACAAAACTGGTGGACTGGTCATTCGATCGTACGCCAATTCAGGAGAACTTTAAGACGCCATACTTTGTATATCTGTCATATGCTTTGGATCCGGCGCCTTTCCGGTTTCATTTGGAATTCGAGGTAATTAATGAAAAGTTACTTAATTCTATATTTTGGATCGAATTTCAGTCATCTGTTGACAAATTAGGTTTGGAGATAAACCCCTTTTCGGGACTCGCTTTAATGAACTTTTATGTACTATTGGCTTTGCCGTTTTGATCCTATAGATTGGTTTAGTTTTTGCCCGAGAAGCCTAATTT